GGAGGGGGTCAAAAGGGTCAAGTTGACTTACTGGCCGGCCATGAACTTTTAGGGGCCTCTCATGTGTGTACATCACAGATATGTGGTTCAAAGTTCAAGAAAGTGGGCCCAAGGTGTTCAACATTGGCCCGGAAGAGGAGGGGCAAAAATGGAAATAACAATTAATGGCCGGCCATGACTTTTTTGGGTCCTCCAAGGTGTGTAGATCACAGTTATGTGGTTGAAAGTTGGCAACACTAACCCCAGGGTGTTCAACATTGGCCCGGAAGAGGAGGGGCAAAAATGGAAATAACAATTAATGGCCGGCCATGACTTTTTTGGGTCCTCCAAGGTGTGTAGATCACAGTTATGTGGTTGAAAGTTGGCAACACTAACCCCAGGGTGTTCAACATTGGCCCGGAAGAGGAGGGGCAAAAATGGAAATAACAATTAATGGCCGGCCATGACTTTTTTGGGTCCTCCAAGGTGTGTAGATCACAGTTATGTGGTTGAAAGTTGGCAACACTAACCCCAGGGTGTTCAACATTGGCCCGGAAGAGGAGGGGCAAAAATGGAAATAACAATTAATGGCCGGCCATGACTTTTTTGGGTCCTCCAAGGTGTGTAGATCACAGTTATGTGGTTGAAAGTTGGCAACACTAACCCCAGGGTGTTCAACATTGGCCCGGAAGAGGAGGGGCAAAAATGGAAATAACAATTAATGGCCGGCCATGACTTTTTTGGGTCCTCCAAGGTGTGTAGATCACAGTTATGTGGTTGAAAGTTGGCAACACTAACCCCAGGGTGTTCAACATTGGCCCGGAAGAGGAGGGGCAAAAATGGAAATAACAATTAATGGCCGGCCATGACTTTTTTGGGTCCTCCAAGGTGTGTAGATCACAGTTATGTGGTTGAAAGTTGGCAACACTAACCCCAGGGTGTTCAACATTGGCCCGGAAGAGGAGGGGCAAAAATGGAAATAACAATTAATGGCCGGCCATGACTTTTTTGGGTCCTCCAAGGTGTGTAGATCACAGTTATGTGGTTGAAAGTTGGCAACACTAACCCCAAGGTATTCAACATTAGCCCGGAAGTGCGAAAAACGGGCGCCGGGAGGCTCCGGAGGAGAGATAACTGGTTGCTGCAACAATTGCTGGCCTCCCACCCTTCAGTGACCTTCCTTGTGATAAAACAGAGGTACCTGCCAAAAATGAACGAAAACCGTTGTAAAACGAACGTTCCGGGGCCAAAACACGCAGTTCGGGGTCCCGAAAATGGGCTGTTAAGCACCGAAAATGGTATTCGACCTCGAAGTGGGTTTCTTAGCCCCCAGTGTCCCTCAAAAGGGATGAAATAAGATGTATGCCAAAAGTCAGAGCAAACGGAGATGGTTAGGCGGTCCCGAACCGAGGCACACGGCCTGACGGCTCCGAAAACCGGGAACCAGACTCCGAAATGGGCAAAATGGCCTACGGCCACCAAATGTAGCCTACGGACATTGAGAGATGGTCTACGGGACCTCTCCCTCCCCTTAGGAAAAGAAACAGAGAAAACCGAGTCTGGTTCGCAAACCGAGACAAGGCACAGAAGAGGGTTCGGAAATCCGGAGGCGGGGCTCGCAGCCAAGACTCTGAAACTTCTGAACGAGCACATTATGCAATATCACCAAGTGCTCAACTGGTGACGTCTGAGTCTCAAGGTCGGTCAAAAATGGGGTGTCTACAACTCCCTGTTTATGCTCAAATTGCATATGTGTTGATAGATTCAGGATCCACTCATTCATTTGTATCGTATGCTTTTTCTCGAAAGTTGACTAGACCATTAGAATCTTTGAATTATTTATTATCTGTATCTACACCTGCTGGGGGTTCTATATTGTGTGCTTATGTATATCCTGCGTGTGACATCATGATTGGGGATGTGTTATTATATGTTGATTTGCTGCCATTGGACATTGCTCATTTTGATTTTATTCTGGGTATGAATTGGTTGACCAAATATTGTACTACTATTGATTGTGTGAATAAATCCGTTGTATTTCGACCACCTGGTTTGTCTGAGTTTATGTTTAGTGGGAATGGTGTAGTTCCTCCTCCATATTTGATTTATTCTATGAAGGCTAGTAAGATGTTGAGAAAGGGTTGCCGGGGTTATTTGTGTTGTGTATTGGTCGAGCCCACAGATAGCACTAATGTCGAGAACATCCCTATAGCCAATGAATTTTCTGATGTGTTTCCTAATGATTTGCCCAGGGATCTAATAGATAGAGAAATTAAATTCACCATTGATGTGGTACTAAGAACACAACCTATTTCCAAAACTCCATACAGAATGTCAACCTTTGAATTAAAAGAACTGAAAGTCCAACTTCAAGAATTATTAGACAAGAAGTTTATTCGACCGAGCACTTCACCTTGGGGTGCTCCCGTTCTATTTGTCAAGAAGAAAGATGGGTTTTTGAGATTATGCATTGACTACAATGAATTGAATAAAGTGACCATTAAGAACAAATATCCACTGCCCCGAATAGATAATTTGTTTGACTAACTCCAGGGAGCTCAAGTCTTTTCAAAAATTGACCTTAGATCTGGATACCACCAATTGAAAGTTAAAGCCAAGATATAGAGAAAATCGCCTTCCAGACTAGATATGGACACTATGAGTTTTTGGTAATGCCATTTGGGGTAACTAATGCACCTGCAGCTTTTATGGACCTAATGAATAGGGTGTTCAAACAATTTCTTGATGAGTTCGTTGTTGTATTTATTGATGATATTTTGATTTATTCCAAAAGCAGGGAAGAACATGAAAATCATCTGAGAATTGTGTTACAGACCTTGAGAGAAAAGAAACTTTATGCAAAATTCTCCAAATGCGAATTTTGGCTTGATTGTGGGACTTTTCTGGGGCATGTGATCAATAAAAATGGCATATCAGTTGACCCACAGAAGATTCAGGCTATTGTAGACTGGCCAAGACCGACAAATGTATCTGAAGTTAGAAGTTTTCTAGGGCTTGCTGGCTATTACAGAAGATTTGTAAAGAGTTTTCCAAACTTGCCATGCCATTGACACAGTTAACATAGAAAAATGTATCATTTGATTGGAATGATCAACGAGAGTCTGCCTTCCAAGAGTTAAAGACCAGGTTAGTAACTGTACCAATTTTGACTTTGCCTAATAGTACTAATGGGTTTCAAATTTATAGTGACGTTTCGTACAATGGTTTGGGGTGTGTGTTAATGCAAAATGGGAAGGTGATTGCTTATGATTCTCGGCAACTCCACCCACATGAAAAGAACTATCCGACCCATGACCTTGAACTAGAAGCTGTGGTGTTTGCCTTGAAAATTTGGCGACACTATTTGTATAGTGTGACTTGCGAGGTGTATATTGACCATATAAAAGCTTGAAATATTTCTTCACCTAAAAAGAACTGAACGTGAGACAGAGACGATGGCTTGAGTTGATCATGGATTATGACTTGCAAATTTTGTACCATCCAAGGAAAGCCAATACCGTTGCAGATGCTTTAAGCCAAAAATCCATTGGCAATTTGTCACGTTTGCTTACCGGTCAAAGAGAATTGTTACATGAATTGGAAGAAATGAGATTGAAATTGCGTTGCGTGAACATGGTAGAATTCTAGTTTCCATTTCTGCCCATCCTGCAATAATTGAAGAAATTAAAGAGAAACAACTTGACGATGAGTTTCTGAAAAAGATTGTTAATGAACTTGAATCAAAACCAAGGTCGGGGTTTGTAATTAAGAACAATGTGCTAAATTTTTAGGGTAGGCTTTGTGTACCAGATTGTTTTGAATTGAGGAAGCGTGTTATGACCAAAGCCCATAATTCCAAATTTGCTATGCACCCGGGTAATACGAAAATGTACAAAGATTTGGAGCAAAATTTCTAGTGGCCTGGAATAAAGAAAAGTATTGCCGACTATGTGGCTAAATGTTTGCATTGCTAACAAGTTAAAGCCGAACATCAACGACCCACTGGATTGCTTCAGTTGCTTCCAATACCAGAATTGAAATGAGAGCATATTACCATGGACTTCATTGTGGGATTGCCTCGCTCTTCTCGAGGCATGGATTCTATTTGGGTCATAGTTGATCGTTTGACTAAATCTGCTTATTTCTTACTTGTGAAAGCTTTTTAGAATGCGGAGAAGTTAGCTAACATTTATGTGAATGAGATTGTGAGATTGCATGGTGTGTCAGCATCTATCGTGCCTGACAAAGATCCTAAGTTCACCTCAAGATTCTGGCAGAGCTTGTAACAGGCTTTGGGAACTGAGTTGAGACTGAGCAGTACTTATCACCCATAGACAGATGCCCAATCTGAACGAACTATTCAAACCTTGGAAGATATACTCAGAATGTGTGTACAAGATTTCCAAGGAAATTAGGAGACTTATCTACCTCTAGCTGAGTTTGTGTACAACAACAGTTATCATTCAAGTATCGGTATGGCTCCTTATGAAGCGTTGTATGGTAGGAAATGCCGATCTCTGATTTGCTAGGCCGAAGTAGGCGATAAACCTTTGTTGGGACCGGAACTTGTGCAAGAAACCACTTAAAATGTGAAATTGATTCAGCAATGATTGAAAATTGCAAAAAGTCGCCAAAAGAGTTATGCGGATGTCTGAAGAAGAGACAGGGAATATGAAGTTGGGGAACATGTGTTTATTAAAGTAACTCCTATGAAAGGGAAAACGCAATTTGGAGTGAAGGGCAAGTTGGCATCAAAATATGTTAGGCCATATGAAATCCTTGAGAAAATCAATCTGGTAACGTATCGAGTAGCCTTACTGCCAGTCATGGAGCATATGCATAATGTCTTTCATGTCTCAATACTTCGGGATTATTTAAGAGATCCGTTACTTGTTATTGAACCGACACATGCACTACTAAAGGATGACTACACGTATGAAGAACGACAAATCCAAATTGTTAACCGAAGAATCAAAAGATTGAGAAACAAGAGAATCTCGTTTGTGAAAGTTGATTGGCGGAATCACAGAGAAACCTATGCAACATGGGAAAAGGAAGAAGATATGATGAAGAGATCTAGATTTATTTCCATTGGATCCAATGTTCTTCCAAACTGAAGGTAATTCGAGTTTGGAGGACTAAACTCTTTAAGGGAGGAAGACTGTAACAACCCTGACCTGTGATTAATTGCTAAACCATGATTAAGAATGCCCAACGAGTAATTAAGATGGAATCCTGAATTAATTACATGTGCATTGCATTATTTGTGTTTACATATGTCTGTTGTAGAAATATCTATTTGTATTTCTGATTTGTTCTTCGAATTGAAGGCCTTGTCGGCATCCGTTAATGAAATTGACTTGGTTTATGTGTTATTTAGCATTTATAGAAATTTATAGTGGGTTCAATTAAAATTCGATTCGGAGTCGAATAAGTAGAATAAATAATTTGAATCAATTTAAATTCAGTAAGATTAATAGACTTACTTAAGCTAAGAAAATTGTACCCTATGTAAGCCTAATTCATGTCTTAAACTTATTTAGACAACACATTTGGCTGAGAATAGAGAGAGAGTATAAGGAAATTCAACAATTCTAGTGAGAGGAAGAGGAATTTGAGGGGAATTGTTAGATATTTGGAGAATCAAGCTAAGACAACACTTGAATTCAACACTAGGCAAAACGTTCATCTTTAATTATTGTAGATGTGGCATGTGGAAGTTCGATTCATCTCATTTTTGAGCTCATTTGCATGTTTTTGAAGAAAAGAAGCTAGAAATGCCATGAATTGGAAGGATAGAGTTGAATTGTATACATGCAAGGATAATTCATGAAGTTTTGAGTTTAATTTCAAAGAATTCCCACATGCATGTATTTATCTTGCCTTTATGTTGTGAATTCATGAAGTTTCATACGAAATTACCTCAATAGCTCATGCTTTGAAAGCTTTGAAGTCAAGAACTTACATGCATGTTATGTTTTCAAAGATTTGAGTTTGTTTTATATAATTGGCAAGCTTTTGGGCTTTGATTTTGCAAAATGATCTTGAATTCACAATGTTTTACAAGTTTACACAAGTTTCCCTAAGTTTTCGACCCAAAAGAACATGAATTACAGCTTTGAGTTGAGTTTTGAAGCTTTTAAAAACAAATCTGGAAATTCTAAAATTCTGCTTCTCCGCTCGAGCGACCACTCTTTGTTTTGTACTCTCACTTGAGCGACCAAAAGTTGGCTCGAGTGTAAAATTCATGCTTCCAGAAGTTTACAAACTTTGTAGATCACTCGAGCAACCAGAGTTGCACTTGAGCGGAGACCCTAGTCTTATGCTTAAGCGATCGTCGAGTGATCGTTGAGCGGAAAAATCATACAACCGGTACTTTTGCAGAATTTGTAGACTGCTCGAGCGAAGGAAGTTGCGCTCGAGCGACCACCCTTATTTTCAGCAAATTTAACCAAGTGTTTTGAATCACATTTTGGCATCCTCATTGCATCCTAGGCATTCTTAAGCCCTAATTAAGACACAATATTGAGGATAAGACTTAGAAACACACTAAGAACAAAAGAAAATAAGTTAAGTACTATCTGAGTGTGTGTTTCAATATGTGTATCTGTTATGTTGTGTAGGTTACGCCCCGTAAGCTATTTAATCTGTCTGCTTCTGGAACCAACTGTGAATAATAACTCATTAAAGTTATATTTAACTTTAATTATTTTCTGATGATATGAAATGATTAGTTTTCTGAAATGCTGTGTTTTGTATGAATGAATGATTGTCCAAGTTTCCAAAATATACTCGTGGCATCCATAGCAACATGTGATATTTAGCGTCCTTTTATGGGTCATCAGGTCCCTGTATGGGCCATCAGGTCCCTTTATGGGTCATCAGAATGCCTTTATGGCTGTCCCTTTATGAGTCATTGGAAACGTCTTTGTGCACACGAGTCATCAGAATGCCTTTATGGCTGTCCCTCATGGGTCATCAGATCTGTTAATGCTAATGGATGTACTACGTATGACCATGTGAATTATATGCACTGTGAACATGAATATGAATATGTATGTGTTTCTGAATATGAATCTGAATTCTGAATTTGTTATAGACATCATTCATTAAAACCTTTATTTTGTTATTATTCACTAGGCTCCAGCTTACCGTATTATTTTTGTATGTAGATGATCAAGCGCGTGACTATGTCTAAGTTGTTGCTTGAAGTTCTGTCTGTCTGCCAGCCACTGTGCCTCCCGAGGAGGTTCCTTTTTAAGAAGTGGTCAAGTTTTTGTGAACAATGTTTAAGATCTTTTTGTATTTTTTTGTTAATCTTAATCTGGACTTTTGTTGTTTGTGTGTATGGATGATGTCGTGGCTAAGACGCCTTTCTTATGTAAATATATGTTTTAAATTTTCTGTCCCATGTATGTCTACATAGTTCTATAGACGTTATATGCTTGTATTTGCTTCTGCTAGCCCCTGTATTTGGTTTAATTTGTTTAGAGGCCTTTGGTAATCTTAGGATTACTGGCCGGTTATGACGCTAAACCTATAGGGACGGGTTTGGTCATGATAACTCTACCATGATTAACAAGTTGAAGTTAGAGTTGAGTAAGCCTTTTTATATGAAAGATTTGGGACTGACAAAGCAAATTCTTGGTATGAAAATTGTTCGTGATTGCAAAAAGAGGCTGATTTGGTTGTCTCAAGAAAGTTACATTAAGAAATTTCTTGTGAGATTCAACATGGATAAAACAAAGCCTGTTGGTTATCCACTTGCGGGTCACTTCAAACTTAGTTCAAATCGATGTCCTACAAGTGAGAAAGACAAGAAAGAGATGCTGAAAATTCCTTATGCTTCAGTGGTTGGTTCTTTGATGTACGCCATGGTCTGTATAAGGTCAGATATTGCTCATGTCATTAGTGTGGAGAGTCAGTTTCTCTTTAATCCAGGTAAAGAACATTGGGCAGCGGTGAAATGGATTCTAAGGTATCTTCGAGGGACTTCGAAGGTGTGTTTGTGTTTCAGGAATAGTAAGCCGATGCTTGATGGGTTCACAGATATCCAATATGGCCAGTGATGTTGATTTTAAGAAATCTACTTCGGGGCATTTGATGACGTTTGCAGGGGGAGCTGTGACATGACAATCTAAATTACAAAAATGTGTTGCTCTCTTAACTACTGAAGCTGAATTTATCTCTATTATTGAAGCTTGCAAGGAAGAGTTATGGTTGAAGTAATTTTTGCAAGAGTTAGGTTTGAAGCAAGAAAGTTATGTGCTTTATTGTGATAGTCAAAGTGCTATTCATTTGAGTAAAAATTATACTTTTCATTCGAGATTGAAACACATTAATGTGAGATATCATTGGATTTGTGATGTGTTGGATTCAAAGTTGTTGTAACTCGAATAGGTTCACAAGTATGATAATATTTTAGATATGTTAACTAAGACTTTGTCAAGAGACAAACATTTGAAGTGTCGAACTTTGGCAGGTATGGTTGACGTCTCCACCTAAATCAGTAGGGGAAAAATTGTTGGGTATACCTCAAGTGGAGTATGAGACACAATTAGTTTGTTAAAAATATTTAATTTGATTTGATGTTAGTTATAATATATTTTATATATTATATTTGATTTTTGGAGGCCCAATGGGTATTTAATATTCTGTTTGGTAACAATTACCGTTTTTTGATAAAAAAAACCCAAAACAAATCAACAATATTTTTGGTATTGTTTTGTTTTTTTCCCAGAGTACGGTGGTTGCTAACATTGATGATTATTCAGTAGGTTCAAGTGCTTTGTGAGATACTTGTTATTTAATGATTAATAGGTGTGCTGCCAGAGCTTGGTGCTGTGTGTGTTTATTCGGGGTGCTCCACTTTGGTGTTACTTCCGCAAAGCTTCGAAGTCTGTTTTTGATTTGATGTTGGTTTGGTTTAGATTTGTGGTCTTTTTCAACTTTGTTTTAAAGATTTTTGTTCATCTATTTGGTAAGATCTTTCTTCTTGATTATTTTGTAATTATTTGAAATTCACCTAAAAGTGATTTGTGAGATCATTCGTGTCTCGTTTGTAATCGTTTGAAAACTCTTGATTAGTAGTGGAATCGGATTTCGGTCTCGTAAACGTACCTTACATTGAGGAAACCACGTAAAAATTCTCATGTCGTTGTTGATTTAATTTTTTCGCATTAATTTTTATTTCCATTGATTGATTATTTGTGGGAAATCATTTATTTTTCCTAACAACACGCTACCTGCCACTACCAATCACCACATCAACCCTCCCTCCATCTCTGGCCACCAAATTTGACAACTCATCAAATATATTTATCTATTTTTATTTTTATTTGTTTTCAAAATATTTTTGTACACTAAACAAATTTTCTGTTTTTAGTTTTTACAAAAATAAATGAAACCTGTTTTTTATTTTTTGCTTAACAAATGAGGCCTTAAGTTAGTAGAGTAACTTAGAGAGAGAGAGAGAGAGAGAGAGAGAGAGAGAGAGAGTTTAAAAGATTTTGTATATTGTTTACCGTTGGCTTTTTACGTAGGGTCAATGTTATGATTCTTTCATTGTAATGAGTCTCATATCCATATCATTTGGGTTAATCTATGAAATTTGAGCTTACATTAATTGTGTGTACATCATTTTGCAATTTATAATAATCGATGGCTGTTCATTTTTGTTTGGATAACTTTAGTTTCGCATTTTACTTTTTTAAGTTGTTTTTTAATTGATTCAATGGAAAAAAAATGTAAAAATTAAATAAGTTATTACATAAGAATAAAAAGGGACACTTTTTCATAAATCTTTTTTCACTTACATATGTTCTATTTAGTTCATGTTATTTTTTTATGTTCTAATAAGTCTTACGGGCGACATATTTACCAAAATATCCCTAATAATATTCACATTTACAGTGTGAATGTTTCGTGATGTGAATGTTTACACCATCAATGTAAATGTTAACATGTCAATGTAAATATTCACATTGTCAATGTGATCATTCACATGCCAATGTGAATATTTAAATTGTAAAATATGAATGTTCACATCACCAAATTGTTAACCATTCAAAAAATATTTGTAAGGGTAGAAATGTCCACAAAATACTTTAAAGATGAG